ACACAGTGTAAGTTTTGAGGAGCGTGCATGTAACGATAAAATTCTAATTATGTCATAAAAACGAATTCAAGTGTTCTATAAAAGTACACTAAATGTGCCTATACTTAATATGAGTCTTAGAAACGTGAGTGTCAACTATAATGAACGTAATTACTTTTCGGACGGAATAGCTGCTATATTATTACATATTTAATTTAAATCTTGCATCACAAATTATAATAAAGGATAGATCTATTTAGCAAGTGATACATTGGGACACGTAAAACATTTAATTGTAAATCGGTTATTTGTTGTAAATCGGTTATTATTGTAAAACTACGTTCGTCAATATCACAAACATCTCATAAATGATTAAAATTTTACAAAATTTTCCATGTAAGTTATTTGCATTATATATATTACAAATCAAAATAGACTAGAAGGAGCGAAAAAATAAAAGTATTATGACGTCACGTACAGGTGGGGAGTGAGATAGAGGAGGGAGTTAGCATGAAAGTATAAATCACAGAGAATTACGGAGTAGCTTAGTAAATTCGTAAACCTTACATGTGTGATCCGATCAAGCACCACATATCCTCAAATGCAGAAGAGGACGTTAAAGCAAAATATATCTGTAACGTCACTATCGTATTGTTCTATTGTTTGCCCGCGACAAAAACTTTTTGCTGATCTATAACTGGTAAGTTTGTAGCTCTTCCCGATGAAAGATAGACGATTTGACCTAGATGAAGTGCATAAAATTTTTAATTTACCTATTCGACTAGTCGACGATCTCAGAACATAAGCGCACTTGTTAAGCTCGACCAGCCAACAAACAAAATTCGCGGCGGTCATAAAATTCACTGTACTTATGCATTTCTATCGCGTTTGATAATCTCTCTCAAAAACATAAACTATGTTTCATCTTGATTTACCTTGATTTACATAAGTATACATCAAATTATTGTGTAACCAGTAAACCCCCGTTAGGCTACAAAATACTAATTGGAAATAAATGCGACGTAATTCTCAATTGCTTGAGGTTTGCATGCGTTTTACACATTATGCGCCTAAGCTGAGTGTAAATAGGAAAAAGATTATAAGCTGCAAAATTACAATTATATTTCTGGTAATTATGTATAATAAGGCTTTTTCCGAATTTTGATATTTTTTTGCAGCTCTTTTGGTAAAAATATTTATTTTGACTCCAATATTGATAATCAATTGGGGAAGTCCGAAAAATATACAAGTTATATATTGTTTTAACTTTTTTCTTACTTTCGTATATCAAACGTTGTTTTGTTTATCAAACGTTGTTGCTTTCCCATAATTTAAACAAGTTACTGACCTTGGATTTCGCTGAAACTCACCTATCTTATGTATTTCGATGCGTAGAAGCCGAATCTGAAATTTAAAATCGTCGCTCGGCTGTACAAACCAAAAAATTAATTGTTAAATATGCTAGGTATGATAGATTAGGAAACTTGTGATTGCAACGTAAAGTTTGTTCTTAGAGTTGCCTTTTCTGTACTAGTGTAGTAAGTACTGCAATATCGAACGACTAGCAGGAGGCTGCGCCTCCCGCACTTCCCCTCAAAACTAACCTAACGCAACCTATCGTCACATTAGCCGTCAGTCATTGCTTATTAAAAAATTATTCAGAAAAAAAGTTGAACACTTTAATAAACAATGACTGACGGTTAATGTGACGATAGGTTGATTTAGGTTAGTTTTGAGGGGAGGTGCGGGAGGCGCAGTCCCCCGCTAGTCGTTCGATATTGCAGTTACATAATATGATTAAAAGATCAGTAACTTGTTTAAATTATGGGAAAGCAGCAACGTTTGACAAGTGAAAAAAAAAGTTAAAACAATATATAACTTGCATATTTTTCGGACTCCCCCGATTGATTATCAATGTTTGGTAAAAATAAATATTTTTACCAAAAGAGCTACAAAAAAATATCAAAATTCAAAAAAGGCCTTATTGTACATAATTACCATATTTCCTTATATTCTCGCTCGTCACTTATTTGTTTAAAAAAATCGTTCATTTTTGCAGTATAGCACAGAACCGCAACAAATTGCGTGATATTTCGTACGATCATGAGCGGCACAAGCAGCCCGATTCAATCCTTCTATAAAAATAAGACCATTTTTGTTACCGGCGCTACCGGTTTTATGGGAAAGGTCCTTTTAGAGAAACTATTGTACAGTTGTTCCGATCTCGACAAAATCTACTTCCTCGTACGACCTAAGAAAGGACGCAGTATCGAACTCAGGCTCGACGACATGTTCAAGTTACCTGTAAGATATCCCGCTAATTATGTGCCACCGTATCTTGGCTTCGACATGTTGGATGAGCGACAAATATCGCGCTGTTATGTTTGATCAAGAATATAGGATGCTACGAAACCAAAGAACGGTGATGACATATCCATACCTGTGGATGTCAGAGATTGACAATCGTTGTGTTTATTGACTGTTCCGCAGATATTTCACAGAATACATCAAGAGAAAGGTCATGTCTTGAAGAAATTGCAGCCGCTGGACGGTGACATAACTATGCATAATCTGGGCCTTACCGATGAACAGCAGGAAACACTGATGAAAGAAGTGCATATAATATTTCACTTCGCCGCATGTCTTCGAATGGAAGCGAAATTGAAAGATGCCGTCGAGTTAAACATGGTAAAATATAACTCGTAAAAATACCTCCTATTGCGCTTTCTTGTGCACTTTATTATTATTTTTAACCCTTTGAGTACAAAGCAGCCCTACGAAAAACTTGTCAAATATCTCGTCTACAGTTGGCGATATCAGGTAGAGTAAAGATAAGTTAGTGTTCCACACTGAAAATAATATAACTCCCGACTCAATTGCAGCTAATTGCTGCAAGCTGAGACAACATGCAAATGAAAATCCTTGAAAACGTCGGTGGAATAATAATAAATTCTAAACGCGTATAATGCGTTCAAGGTATTAATAATCACGCGTGTTGAACTTAGTCGTCTGAATATTACACTACTGCAAGTGTAATCTGTTATCTAACTTAGATATGCACTACTTTGCGTATTATATGTGCGACTAACGTATGTGTCTGCAATGTTACTTACTTAATTTAACTTATCAAAATTATTCATCGTTTATTGGACAAACAATCCCAGGTGTCCGAATTTGTGCGTGATTTTATCCACTGTGTGATAACGAGTATTAATTAACAAATTAAAGAATTTACAGTGAACGGACAATAGATTTAATTCTGATATTTTCACACGTGCAAAGCTTTAACGAATTATCGCGATTTTTATGATGTGTATGAAATATAAAAGGTTCGATCTATACTCTTCTAGATTGGCACGAAAAGGGTATTGGATCTGGCAAAGCAGATGAAACAGTTGCAGGTGTTCCTGCATCTGAGCACGGCCTTCTGTTACGCAGATAAGAACGAGCTTGACGAGGACATTTACGACGCTTGTCATGATCCCAACAACATCATAAAACTTGTTCAGTGGATAGACGAAAGCACCGCCGATTTGATTACGCCTAAGTAATTGCACTTAATTAACAATATTCAGAGAATGGTCGATTCCAGGTTGAGCATCAATGTCGTGTTGCTTTGGCATTTAATTGTCCCCCATATTAAACATATATATATATATATATATATATATATATATATCTGTTTCACTTTTAGAAAATGAAGCTATTTTACGAGATATTGCGAAAAATTTAAACAAAGGAGCTCCATCATTACGACTGCAAAAGCTATCAAAGTCAGGTAATTTAATATATTGACACAAATACATACAAGCATATAGTTGCACTAAAAATCTAATTCCATATTAATTGCATATAATGTCGAAGATTTTATGACAAGCAAAAGTTCCTGCAACGTTGGCCAGTGCAATAAACATTCTAATAAGGCTGACACTAACCAAACGACCTGTGATGTAAATACAGGGAGCATCCCGATTGACCACGGCACGATTGGACACAACCAACCGATAAAAAGAATTATCCAGTGAATTACTAGGTCCAACCAATCATTACAATCTGTGTCCAATCGTATCGTGGTCAATCGGGTCCCACCCGTAAATACATATACAAATATATGTTCTGCATTACATGAAGATGCTATGATTACCGACAATGATTCTTCTACGTTAGTTACTAGTAGCAACAATAATAAAGATGGTAAGCATTGAAGGGGACGATATGAACATTTTTATATTCATTAAGGCTCCTGGAGTCAAAATTATTGCAAAATATGTTGAAACAAAATGATGCATTTACAAAATAAAACTAGCAATCAACCGAGTATACCTGTAAAATATTCCACATACTTTCCTTATATTCCAACAATCAATAAATAATCGTAAAAATTAAATAACAATCATGAGAGAAAGTGAGTTAAAAAAAAACTGCATAGTATATTAAATTTATAGTTAATTGTTCGAAGAAAAAAGAAAGTGTTCGGATTATTTTACGAGTTTGCTTGGTAGATTGCAAATGCTATTTAATGAATATATATTTTTATTCTAACATTGCAAGAATTTTTAACATGTATTTTCTCGCCTTTGACGTCATCAATCAATAGTTCTGCGGCCACGAATCTTAGGAATTATTTACAACACAGTAGCAATTACGTTCTAAAGTTGTAGAACCAGTTTATGAATTATTCATATATCTATTTTTTTCGCGTAAACTCGTGAAGAAGAAAAGTTTTACTGAGATTGTCAATAAAACTTTTCAGTTCTCATAAATTAACCCGAAGAAAACAGACACATAAATAATTCGCAGAGTAGTGCT